GTACATATGATAAGTATCAAGTAAGATCTCATCATTTCTTATGATACAGTGTTGGAAAAGTTTTCAGCGTCAGGAATAACACTTTCGTGTAAAGTAACATTTCTTTATCCTATATGAATAATGTCGTAATACGTTTATATCACGTGTTACCTCATAATTCTGACAATTATTGATCATGCTATTACTATTAATTAGTTAAATTATTGCTGGAAAATGTCATGAAACAATTTAGGAAGAACAATAAAGGACATTGTTAGTCAATTACCAATATACTAACTACTTGAGTGAGAGTGCAAGGAACTGTTAGAATAGATGATCAGTAATTACAAGATTGTGAGATTGAAGATTAAGCATGTTAATATGGATATAAATCTTGAGATCAAGATCATTAAATTTCCTGGATTACATTTAATATCTTTATATACTTGTTAGAATTATGTATTATTTCGAGACTATTTCGAGGTTACTTTGTACGAACCTTGACAGTAAAGACATGTAAAGACATGTGTGTCATTACAAGGTTGTTGCTTCCATACTATTAACATTGATATTTAAAGAGATCATTGTATATTATTGTATATTATTTAGTATCTTACTTTGTACAACAAAAGGATATACAATTACATTATTATTAACAAGTATATTTACTTTAGCTTACAGATCTCAACCCTTAAGATCCTATAGAATAAACGCCTAACAGCCTTCATTCTAACGTAAAACGAATTAAACATACAACTAAGCAATAATTAAAAGCATTATTAAGAGGCCAATCAATACAGTATTACGACATTATTCATATAGGATAAAGAAATGTTACTTTACACGAAAGTGTTATTCCTGACGCTGAAAACTTTTCCAACACTGTATATAAGAAATGATGAGATCTTACTTGATACTTATCATATGTACTATATTCCCATGTGTATATTTTATACTTTAATACACCGGATCAATATCAACTTATTAAGAATATCCTTGGAAATAAATAAAGAATCTATTACTATGAACGATTCGGTAGAAAAACCACAACATAATTCTCTACAATACTTATTTTACATTACATATAGAAATCTCTACAGAGAAAAATTTAATACAATTATGTCGCCAAATAAAATTGATCAAAATTCACAATAGATAACTAGTGTCACAATAAGGAAGATGAGGCAAAGAGAAAGTATATAAATAGGCACATGGTTATAACATAAATAAGTATATTAGAGTTACATTTTATATAGAGTTGTCATTTAGATATGATAAGACAAATGGTACTCTGTAAACAAGTGACACACACTGCAAGGGTTTACAGTACAACACCGCGATATTCATCATTATGGCACTATCTATGGAAACCATCTTCCAGCTTACTCCTGGTTTGACGGCTTCGACTGAGTTGGCCAATAACGATATAGCAAGAACCTTAAAGCCTTCATGCACGCGTCAATTGCGAAATACATAATTGCTAAATAGGTGAGAGCTATAATACACCCTAATACTTTCATGACCATGCTGGTTAACTGTTTATTCTTTTTTTTTTTCAATTATACACCAGTATGTTATAAAGTAATTGTATATATAATCCCTGATCTCATCACTACTTAATTGAGTCCTATTAAGCTTGTCTTCTTTTATACTATGTCCTATAATTGTATATACGTATTTCAGACTAACAAGTCTTAAAGAGACTACCCTTTTTATATGTTTCTGTTTTCCTGAGTTTGCATCCACTTTCAATGTTTGTTGTTATGGTTCATTTCATGTTTTATGTCAAAAAAGTTGTCTCTTATTCAGTAATTGTAGATGCGCTGTTACTTAGAGTTAGGCATGGCAGTGGATTGCCTCTACAAAGATTCTCACATAGTAAATTCCTACTAGATCACATGCTATTCATGGGATTGTCAGGTGATCAGGGAAGCACCCTTAGTATAATAATATACTACATTCCAGTAAATAGTTAAACTAAAAGTAACCAAGACAGTATATATTTAAATTTAAGTTTAAATATATGATGTCGTCTAAAACAGTAATACTAAGATCTAAGATGACCTAATTTCTTACCTTCATGATTGGAAAAAATCAATTTTTAGCCAAATTCGTCCAATTTCCGGACATTTAATCCCCTTCCTGTAATGCCTAGTTGCAGTCACTATGCAATACCTTTGTGTTGTAAAATAGACTATGGCAGTGACAGAGTTATCCAAAGTTATCCAAAGTTATATAGATGTCACAATATTCAGATGCAAGGCACAGATTGGATTCTTGTTATTATATACTTGATTCTTAACGGAAAAACTTGTTATATTACTTTTACAATTTTAATATAATAATTAATATATAAACTAATCTAAAATACTTAAAATAAATATTATAATATTGCAAACATTTCTCTATTTATATGATTTATCGCCAACAATATAATTCGTCATTTAAGTATAATCACTTCTTTTCCAAAGTAGTTGAAAGTTTTTAGACAGTAGTGTGTTGCAGATATAGTTTACTTTTCTATCAGTTAAGGTTGGTTCCTATCAGTTTCATGAGAAATATTTCATCATATTTTTGAGTATTATAAGACAAGATTATTAATTTTTTGATATCTAACTCCAAAAAATCATTCACTTTTGGAAAATATTAAGATCACCTTATTGTTGGTGTAAACACATTTTATAATATCTTGATTGATTTCTTTTTTTCTATGCTAAGAACAATTTGAATTTAATATCAAATTAGATATTTTGAAACCTATCTTATCAAGCAATAATGAGACAAGTAATTTTTGAAAATATTTAGTTTGTTTAATTCATTTCATATTAGTTAATTGCAATCCAAATAAAATAAAATTCACAAAACTTGATTAATAATTGCTCTATCTTGAATGATTTGTGTTCAATAATCAGTTATATAAATATGAGTACTCGATTGAGTAGAAACCACTAATTTGCGGCCCAAAGTATAAGAATATTACCTTCTAACAAGTATTTGAAATAAATCTTGATAAGAGATGTGCGAGATGGATATCCTGCCATATATAATTTGCATTTCTTTCATTTTGTAAATGCTTTCCCAAGTTTTATTTTAGATACAAAGTACTTCTGTTGACTTATAGATGTAAATATTTATTTAACTGAACTGTAAAACTGGAAAATATAATCTCAACAAGAGTGGGATTAAGTTGTAGAGGTTATAACACTTCTTTTTTGTTCCCTACAGCAAATGATCTTAATTGGAAGGTGGTCTCAGTACTATTCCTTAGCAAAATTAAATCTGTAGCCATTATCCAAGAAAGTAAAGACACTTTTAATTTACCCATGTCAAAGTAAAACCTATATCATAAAATAAAGATATATTAAAAGAGCACAGATTTTAGATTGTAAATATATGCCAATTAGGTTCTTTTACGTGTTGTCAGATAATATTGTTGAATAAGATCTTGAAAAATAATTTTCCCTAAGAAAATGTTAAATTTGACATAAGAAGTATTTAAATAAAAATTATCAAATCCAGGTTTAGAATTAATAAGAAGCAAATCAAAGAATATATATACTCTATTTGATAAGGATTTTTTACTTGTATTTGTGTCTCTAATTATATTCTGACTCGATCAAAAGTATTATAGCCTGGAAAATTTATTGTGTTTTATATAAATTGATGTATGACTTCTCATCACTTTTAAAAGACAATTTTACTCTAGTTTCCAAATATTTGATTTATGATAAACTGATACTTTGAATATAAATTGATTCTATTTTCTTTTCTTTCAATTCACTTTGAACCGAAAACAATAGATTGACTAATTAATTACACATAACAAAAAACAAAGATGAGTTCACAAATGAAGATCTTGAAAAGAATCAAATCTATCGTCAGGCATTCAAAAGAACACGAAAAAGAAGAAGAACCTTTTAAGAATATAGATTTGGTTGACATCAGTGATGATTTCATTAATGTATTTCATAACAATGAAGTGACACGAAATATATCAAATAATGATGAAGAAGCTGAAATCTCGTCCCAAGATATGGCAACAGTATTGACTGGGAATAAAAATTATAGAGATGGGGTTTCAAAATTTAGTTTTAAAAAAAGATCTGATAATAAGAATTCCAAATTTTCTAGTGGTCGATCTAATTCTTATTCAGCACTCGAAAATAAACTTCAAAATAAGTTTGAGTCAATTAGATATACAAGCATCCAACTAAAAAAAAATCCCAATAAAGAGGAATACATACCTCGAGATAATGAGATAGAGACATCAAAAGTACAAACTGTTATAGCAAGGACAGAAAAAAATAAAATTATGGGCAACAATCTCAATAGATTGCAGGAGGGATATGAGTCTGAAGAGTTTGAAAAATTTAATGAAAAATTCAATCGGATTAGTAAGTATACTAACAGAATGAAGATGCATATAAAACATAAAAAAAAATATTTTGAAGCCGTACCATAATTTGCCAAACTTAATTTGAACATTCGATAATTTGTGAAAATTCAACTGAAGAGTTATAATTAGATACTCTTTGGGATATCAAATTAACTTTTTCATCAACTCAACCTTTTTAATTACATTGTATTTTATTTATAACTATTAAATAGTTACATATAATTATATATCCTAGCACCAAGCTAAAAATACAAAAATGCAGGTAGTTTAGTAATCTAATTGATGAATCTAAAAATGCTATCAATTATTCGTTTTGTCACCATTACAACAGCACCTATTTCCCTAAAACCAATCATCTTATTTTCATCATCAGAACTTGAGTTATAACTAGAACTTTCGTTAGAATTTCTGAATCCCTCATTTTCACTACCAATTGATTTTTCATTACCTTCAACCTTGTTCGGTCTGGCTCCATCAAGAGAAGTTGCTATATTTCCAATATTTAAAGATCGATATAATTCCTTGACGTCATTTCTCTTAGATCTAGTATAAATTTTCCTTCCACTTAAATTTTTCGTTTTATTATTTATATTGAGGATATTATTCGACTTTAGAGTTTTTTTATCTTTGGTAATCGAGTCATAACTCTTTTGGTTGGAAGAAGGATTCTCATAACTTTTCTTGGAAGACAGTTTTGGGACTTGTTCTACAACATGCATATCATCTCCACTTTCTCTATCACTATCAAGATATGACGGTTTTCTTAGTACTTGACTATCCGAGTTAGCTAACGAACTACATTCATTAAATATTAATAGATCATTTTCATCCTCATGCTTCGAGAGATTATAGTCAATACTTTTAATCGGGATATCTCTGTCACTATCACTATCACTATCACTATCACTATCACTATCACTATCACTATCACTATCACTATCACTATCAATGTCAATATCACAACCACGATTATTATCACTATCACTTTTGTTTCTGTCCTCCTTTTCATCGGTATGGGCTTTATTGACGACTTCTTTATTAATGTTTAATTTTGCAGTCGGTTCAATTACTGTGCCTTTTAAATCTAGTATAGTCAATTCCTTTCTAACACCATTTTCTTCAATAATAATATGGTTGTTTTCATCTGACAAATCAGTTTCGACTCTATCTGAATCACTGTCAGATGGTTCAGGCGAGGTTGAATTTTCGACTACCTTTTCAGATTCAGAGGTATGAGCTTTCTTAGAAACCAATTTTTCTGCCGCTCTTTTTGCAGCACTTCTTGGTGTTCTCTCAGGTAAAATGTTTCTAGGATCTGGTTTTGAGTTATCAATATCCTTATTAAGCACAGTGGTATATGGTTTTTTAGGATATTTAGAGCTTCTTTTAAACCAGGGGGGAATATCTAGTTCATCACCATCAACCATATTCAAAATCTCTCCCTTCTTGAAACTGTTATTGCCAATATCTTTAGAATCATTGTTTACAATTTGCATCTCTTTTTTTTGAGAACCGCTATTTGCATTTATGGAATTATCAGCCTCTTCAATTGCTCCGTTTGCAGTACTTTCTTTATCAAAGGAATTTTTTTTTACTATTACCGGTAGTTCTGCTAACTTAACTTGTCTAGATTCAATATCTGTATTATATTTGAAATGATCTTTTAAATCTCCATTTCTGTCTTGTGATAAGTTTTTTGTTGGAGAACCATTGTCATCAGCTATTGAAGTTTGACGATGTGAAGATGCTTTAGATTGAATAGTATCGTTTTCACTCGCTTGCTCCTCCGAACTAGAATTATTATCTGCAAAATCAGTATCTTCCATTAAATAAGGTTTCTTCATCGGTATTCTATTACCTTTTTGTGGTAACAATGTAGAGGGGCTAGATGGTCCTTCATGTAGTTCTTTTTCAACTTCAAGAATTTTAGGTTCAGGTATTGTTAACATGCCTGAACCAATTCTTGGAGAAGACATAACAATATTATCTATTTTGGACGAAAATACAGTTGGTTTAACAGATACAGATAGAGATCTATTGTTTGGGGCAAAAATCGAAGTCTTCTCTTTAAAATTTTGGTATCCATTGTCAGAAACTACTCTTTGACCAGTTAAATATACTCTGTTTGGTGTTACACTTTGTCGTATCGGTGTTCCGGAAAAAATACGCTGTTGTTTGGATTTATCAGGATCTACAGTTTCTGATCTAGATACTGTGTCTTCTTCTACTAGAGATTTTATTTTTTTGTAATTTTCTATACCCGAGCTTATACGAATTGGTGGAGATTGAGGTTGGTTTGGTGGCGGCAAAAAGGACCTATCTAATTCATCATCATCTACCCCCAATTCATCATCAGAGTTATTTGATTGTCTATTAGGCGGAGGATAAATTTGATGAGCTAACGGAGTTGAGATTCTAACCGTATTATTATTCAAAGTATTCTTTTTAAGTTCAGAAGCGTGTCTTTTCTTTGAAATATTTAGAGAACCATTTAGCTGATTATTTTCATTTATTCTTTTCCTTTTGACTGATTTATACAACGAATTTGATTGATGTAAATCTATTTCATTCTTCAATATTACCTTTACGGTATTATCAATATCGAAAACATCTTTAACTAAGAAGTCAGGGTCCAAATCACAGTCATCAATATTTCGCAAACTTACAATCTCAATTTCATTCTGTAAATTTGGATACAGCTTTTCACATTTTAACAAGATTTCCTCTGATAATTCCAAGAGATTGTTATTTGGTTTTGTAAATAATAAAAATTTCTTACAATTCGAAGGAGTCAAATATCTTAACTTTGCAATATTACCATTTTGATAATAAGAAATATTTGTGGTATTGTCATTATTATTAGTATTCATATTCATACTGGTATTATTATTAGTATGCGTATTATTATCGTTATCATTATTATTGTTAATATTATTATTTTGCATATTACTGTCACCTGTTTTAAATGATTCTATTTGTTGATGATTTCGTAGTGGTTTTTGGGATTGTTGCAGTATGAATCCATTTAATTGCTGTTGGTTTATCCCTAATGGGGATACATCATTTTGATAATTATTGTTTATAGCTTCATTTTGAATACTTGGCAAATTATAAGGTAGTGAATTTGGGATTGTGTTATAGTTGAATTGATCGATCTGTTGACCAACAATAGCACTTGGTGGTATTAATATCACCTGTAATTTATACATCGATTAATAGAACCTAATGATATCCTTCAATCTTTTGTTTTTAAACTTAGTTTCGAGTTGGAAAATAAAAGATCAAATGTTTCTATGACGGTAAAGGATCCAATAAATATAGTAATATTTAAAATTATTCGTTGTTAAAGTCAAACTTAAGATAGACAATACCAGAATCAATTAACGATATTGTTCACAAAAAAATCAAGACCAATCAATTAATGATTATAGTCCGAGCGCTTTGTTTATTTTTATCTTGCTTTGTTGTTTTGGTTTATTGAGATTAGAACAAGTATAGGAGTAATATTGAATACAACTAAAGGTATCTAATAAGTTATTATATTAAGAATAAAATTCCTCAACCAATAAAGCGTACTTTGAATGGCAATAATCTCCCTAAAATATACATAAATCCGAATCCTTCAATGATTATAGTAATATCAATAAATGGATCCTTTCTTAATGAATATAAAATTCTGGACTTCTATCTTAAATTTAAAATTCAAGTTGCACCAATTTTATAAATATATATCACGTGATGATTCTATGTTTTGTATACGTAATATCAACTAAAGATATCTCGATTGGAGATGAAGAATTAGAGCCTTTCATCAATGTTATATGTATCTAGATATTATTTACTCATTTGGACATTTTCAGATACATTAGCAATAATTAGTTAGTATATCTATATTACCAATATTATAGTATAGTTTAATTAGCATTTAAACCAGATATCTTATAATTCGTATACAATTATAGTAATAATAATGACAATGACTATGATTATAATACAATACTAATACTATTATAAAATATATATATATAATAATTAACCATTAGTACCAGAAAGTTAATTATAGGATATTGAAAACCAGTTCAATATTCACTAGATTGAATTAGAATTGAATTAGATGTTATCAATTTTTTTATGACGGAATTCATTATCTAATTTTGATAGATTTTGATAAATATTCTCAACCAAGTTATTATTTTTAATAGTTTTTGTTTTACTTATACATTTTTCGTTCAAACTTGTACTTGGGTCAATACCAGAACTTGAGTTTGAATCTGGCATTTTTTTTGTTTTTGTTTTTGTATTTGACTTTGTATTTGGCTTTGACTTTGAATTTGAATTTGAATTCAAATTGGTCATTTTTTGTGAATATTTTATAATTTTATGCTTCATTAGTAATTGATTTTGTAGTAACTTTATCTTTAATATCGAAAGTATAATCAAACTGTTATAAACTGATTCATTTTCGTTGCTGCCGACTTTTGTCGTAATGCCTTCTTTATTTAAAAAGTAATTGAAAGTTTCCCAAAACTTAATCACGATTTCTTCATCCCAATTAAAATCAATCTTTTCAATAAATTTCAATAAATTTTTCTTATTAAAATGAGATTGATACTCTTTTGAATTGACAAAATATAATAATGTATCATTTGAATTTTTTCTATCATTGACTATATGATTTGTATAGAACGACGAAATGACGGTGCTCATATCCCAATTACCACTAGATTTCCAAAGATAATAAATATTATTAATTTCATCAAATTCAACAATTAATATCGGTGTATTTTTACAACTGCTTTCAATCTTCAAATTCAACGTAATTGTTTCACTAATTTGAAATTCAAGATAATAAATATCTTGGATATTCTTGATATGATCAATTAAATCTAAAACATTGATAAACTTTTTAATACAGGTGATTTTCAACTTTGGTGAATTATCACCATTGTATACATTTAAAACCTCCCCAATTGACATTCTACCTTTCTTCACTGTAGTTTCACCATCTAGGTAAATATGAACATATATATACTTGTATAAACATATGTAAATATATATAGTTGCTTCACAATTTATCCTAATATCCAGATATAAGGATGTTAGTATCACAACATGACAATATCATTATTATTATTTATACTTTTAGTAGTAGCTGAAAACACATATAGCATAACTACAAAAAATAAAGGGAAAACTACATACATCCCTTCCTTCGATCTAATCAATGCGTTGTCAAATCTTAAAGGCAAGAAATAAATCAAAAACTGACACGACAACGAAAGTTCGAAATCGAAAGTTCGAGAGTTCGAGTTTTTAGTTCGGCAAAAAACAAACAAACACTGTTTTGATTAACGGATCACATGATCTGTCATTTTGAATTGACGTTTGAATTTTAAGTTACTGACTGTGTCAGTATCAAACAACAACGACAAAACTAAAAAAAGAGACATGTCAATTATAATTTGTTGGATGTTTACTTCTTTGGTAGTATATGGTGAAATGTCAAATGGAATAAGATCTATATACAATTTGAAATTCAAGAGGGTTCTATAATATATAACTTTGATCTTTAACATTCATAAATATAAAATTGAAGATTAAACAAAATGTTTGATCAGTATTAACCAGTTAGTTGTAAACGAGTTTCACAACATTTTTTACTGAGAGTAATCATTATAAATTAAATCCATAATAAGCAATTTAGAATTCTTGTAATATATGAGTTTCTTATATGACCGGTGATAGCATTAGCATTAGCATTAGCATTAGCATTAGCATTAGCATTAGCATTAGCATTAGCATTAGCATTAGCATTAGCATTAGCATTAGCATTAGCATTAGCATTAGTATTAGTATCAGCTTCAATATCTGTAAGAGAATGAGATCAACATTTGAATGTTCACTACCGATAAGGATTCCTCCGTTTCTTTTTATTACTGCTTCTGACATGCTCAGACCAGAAACAACTGATATCTTATCTTTTTACGGAATTGGTTTTTCTTTTATCTTATGGAGGATTACCCTCTTTTCTTTCCCCCCCCTGTTTTATTCCTCAGCCTTTCTCCCTCTCATTTGCCTATAAGATCTTAAATCCATGTCCACGTGTCGCTTTTAAGCTTCTTTTCTGTGTAACAGACATAATATAGATCAAACGTATACAAGCACAACCCATTCTGATCCATCTCATACACAAGGTTTGTTATCGACAAGAGAAATACTACAAAATGAAATAGTAATAAATAAGCTGGCTGGCGTTTAAAGGACATTAATAAAGTCTTCCGTTTCACCCGCATACAATGCACATTCACACTAATAAAACTCAGCACAAATCAAGGAGAAAGGTCCACGTCAAAAAGTTGTGAGAAAAACTAAATGGCTGGTGTAGAGGTGTATGGGTGTATGAATGTTTAAATACTTTGATTACCCAATTGGGTCAACAGCAGCTAATTCCATTATTTCAAAGTCAAAGCGCGGAAAACATAAAATGACTAGAAAAAACATTGTCTTAACTCCCAGATTAGGCATATTACCTAGTTAGACTATACTTCATGTATTGTCTGATTATTCTATTCTATTTATTTTCTGTATGGGACAAGCAATAAAAGAAAAATCTATTTACAGTAAGAGTCTCTGACAACTTGCAAGATACGTATATATTAGTTAAACGCTACACAAAAACCATTGATTTGCTTTGCTTCGGTTCGATTGATCACTCACTTAACAACAGAAGTTTATACATTTCTTTACTTTCTGTTCTGCTGTAATGGATTGATTTCTAATCGTTCGGATTACCCGGATGTTTCTTTCTCAGTATAATATCTGACTATCCTTTATTTAATGTTTGTTTTTCTTTTTAAATTACGCTGTCTCATTGTGAGACGACATAAAAATATCCTTTATTCTTATATTTTCACAACCATTCCATTTACTTTTTTTTATCTTTCCTCATTTTTCATGTTTATCAATATCTGCAAGAGGTAACCCACTCACCCAATAATTTTGATCCCAAATTATCCTCTCTCCCTATCAATTCTCTTGCTCGAACTTTCTTTTTATTCACATTAACCAATATGAAATTATGATCGATTTGTACCAAACCAACCATTTTTCCTATATAAACATCAGTCTTTACCCCTTTCAGCGGCATTGGTCCTTTTCCGGAAATCATTCACAACTATCCCTATTCCAGCCTCTGCATCGAGCTCTAGGGCCATTTGTAGTTTTTTGGCGCCCGTTACCGTTTTGGGAGAATGCACTTTAAGTTCCAAATTAGGAAATTGGAGGGATATATTTTTAACCAGTCTTAACGTTTTAAATCGGTTTGAATTTTGGTGTATTTGCGGTCCTTTTTCAGCTTAACTTTAAACTTCACTAGTTTAATTTTTCACTCGTTACCAATTCAGGGAAATTATTTATATTTCAATAATTCACCATCAGTTGAGTGAAGATTAGCTGAAGCATTTTAGTGTTTTCGTTTCGAATCCATTTCGAAACCATGCTTACTAGTTAGGAAGGATACAAAAAATATTTAGAAGAGTGTCTTCGTTTGTTTGTCTGATGCAGCTGAATTTATTAGAATATCTCTCTGTTTTTCACCATGAACTTCTATTGTGAAGTTTTGATCTCTTATGAATAAATATATATAAGTGTTAGCCAAGTAAATTGATTTCTTGTTCCACTTTTTAAAGTATGTTGTATACCATTTAATTTGCTTGTCATCTACCATTTTTAATCAGATTTATTTTGTATCTTTTGCTTGTTTGTTACTTATTTTTATTTATAGATATCTTGCTTCAAGTCACCATTGAAACTTTCATTCTTTTTGATATAGGTATTAAATCATATTACCGTTCCATTCATTAGTCTGTGTCCAACTACAGTTACGTTCTTTAGCAAAAAGTTTTCATAACGCCATTCTTTTTAAAATATATTCAAAATGAAATTTTCCAAGATCTCTTCAATTGCTGCCTTATCTTCGGTCGCTTTGGCTGCTCCAGCTATGGTCACTGTTACTGAACATGTCCATGCTTCACCAACTGTCACCGTTCAAGGTGTAATCTATTTCCAAGACGGTGCTGCTGTCACTAGTTTCACCACTATCGGTGCCGCTGCTGATCCAACTCCTGTTGCTGCTGCCGCTGCCACTGCCGCTGCCCCAGCCGTTGCTAATGTTAACCTAGTTGGTAACAATGTTGTTGATGCTCAAGCTGCCACCACTCAGGCTCAAGTTCAAGTTCAAGCCGTCGCTTCAACTACTGAAGCCGCTGCTCCTGTCCAAACCACTGAAGCTGCTGCTCCTGTCCAAACCACTGAAGCTGCTGCTCCTGTTCAAACCACTGAAACCTCTGCTGCTGCTGCTCCTGCTGCAACCACTGCTCAAGACAACAGCAACAACAGCAACTTATCTGATTTTGCCAACACCATATTGAATGCTCACAATGCTAAGAGAGCTTTACATCAAGACACTAACTCATTATCATGGTCTGACGATTTAGCCAGCTACGCACAAAACTATGCCAACAACTATGACTGTTCTGGTAATTTAGTTCACTCTGGTGGTGCATACGGTGAAAACTTGGCCTTAGGTTACAGTGCCTCCGGTGCAGTTGATGTTTGGTATGATGAAATTTCTGGTTACGATTTCAGTAATCCAGGCTATTCTCCAGCTACTGGTCATTTCACACAATTAGTATGGAAATCGTCTACTCAAATTGGTTGTGGTATTAAGAATTGTAACAATGAATGGGGTAACTACGTTATCTGTTCTTACAATCCAGCCGGTAACTTCATCGGTGAATTTGCCCAAAATGTTGGTAACTTGAAATAAAGAGGGATGCTCTTACTTAAGAACTAGTCCTTTTTTATCATCAATATTATCTTCATTATTATCTTTTTATTTAAATATATGAATTAGAGTTTCAAACGGGGTTACGACAAGCACGTCAAATATAAATCATTACAATTCAGGTTCCAAGCAAAAGAAGAAAAATATATATATATATTCCAAGATGAATAGAGGAGATGAAGAATAAAATATTCAAGAAAATGATGCAACTTGCAAGAAAGTAGTATTAGTATGCTTAATATTTGAATCCAAATCTATCTCTATCTTTATATCTATATCTATCTCTATATTACTATTATTATTATATGTAGGCTAGATCCGACCCTCACTTTATAATAATAATAATAGTACTATAAGGGAAGGGGCAAATCGGATCTACGCGGTTAATTCGTTCTTTTGGTTTTTCATTATCGTTATTATTTTTATTACTTTTATTTTTTATTTTTTTTTCATTATTATTTTCAACTAAAATCGTGCTATTTACACGTAAGTATACATATATATATATAAATAAATCTATACCCAGCTTAATAAGTTTGCTATAAAAGTTAAAGTTGTGTCAAAAATGTAGGTATGATTATGATTGATTTTCCTTTAAATGAATAGGTATTTTTATCTTTCAAAATCTTGTCAATCTTCCAGGCAGAGAAGCCAAACCAAATGAAGGACACGTAGATCCAATTTTGTAACAGTGCTGGTTGATTTCTTTTCATATATCGTCACCAAAGCACGTCACGTTACAGTCCGCAATAATAGAACTTTTTCGAATAGGAAATAAAAAAAACATAACTTTTGATAGACGGGATCAAACCTAATGTCTCGCTACCATTAGAAATAAAAAAGTTCTGTTCCACAGTTGGGACAAACCCAAAAGAAATGTTCCATATTAGGCAGTCAAACCAGAGAGAAGAACAGCAGCCAATTGTCAATTTATTTGCCCTACTGTGTTTTGCTTTAGCGTTATCATCTTAGCAAGCTAATCTCCAGCTATCTTGTCGATCGTTCACCAGTGGTTTTAAATGCGTGTTCCCATCTACGTATATATCACTTTACTCTTCCTCACAAAGAAAGAGAACAGCCCGAACAACTTTTATTTCCTTTTTATTTTCTTTCTAAAGAGACCCTCCCCGCAGTCCCAAAATAGAATGAAAGCAAAAAGAGAAAAAGGATTAGCTATGCACGTGACTATATCCTCTTTGTAGAAATTCATATCATTTTATATTGATTGTAAGTTTGTGTTTCTGTTGAAGATCCAGACAAAAGAGTATCCGTTTCTCTACTTCTAGCTCTCAACCCCCGCCACAGCCAGTGTTTTGTTGGCGTTATTCACTGGCTATTTCACATAAAAATGTTTGACATACAAATAAAATCAAATAGCCCATTCATTATTATTATATTCGAAATTATATATCAAGTTTTACATATTCCTACGCTTATGGAAGTTCTCTTGCTGTTTCTCTTTCTCTCATACTAAGAATAGAAGCAAATGCAAAGGACTCTCTCTTGAATTTCAATATACTTTCATACGTCATGCATTCTAATATCTCTGCTACCCACACACTCTCTCTCTCTCTCCCTCGCTTTCGCTAATCGACAGCCTGTTCCATGAAAAAGTTATTATAAAAGAATACAAAAACACTTAGAAAACACTGCACAGTTAGCAAAAGAAAAGCATAGAAGATTTTGTTTGCTGGATCTTCTTGAGAATTCTAGATCTTGATCTTTGCTCTATTTCGGTCTTGGGTCTAGCTCTAGCTCTAGCTCGAGCTCTAGCTAGAGCTAGAACCCTCTGGGATGCTGGCTAGCAGCTCCATTCATTGAAAAAAACAAACACAGTATCCGATGTGCTTGTTAGAATTCCAGAGCATATAGATAAGTCCAGCTAAACCGACAGCAAAAAACTATATTAGTCTCCATCTGCATCTCCATCTGCATCTACGTCTTAGTCTGGGTCTGCATCTGCGTCTTTATCCAAATGCTACATTTCATAAACCTCTTTCTTTAATGGTAACGTGTCGGTTTGTGATGGTGTCATTGAACACTGGAGGCCATTCACTGAGCTGTTCCTTATCTTTCACTCATCACAACAGAACCAGTCCTAGATATATTCATGATGATGTGTTAATTAACTATACTTCATCTTTATTGGATTCTAAGTATCCTCTCTGGATCACATTGTTCTAGTTATTTTTTCGAAAACATTTCATTTCATCTTGAAGTTTTTTTTGTTTCTTCTCTTTCTTTTCATCTACTGATTCCCGTTACTGCTTTGATTGTCTAGATAAATATAGCAATCAATACTCTTTTTTTAACATGAAATAAAGAGATACCTCTGAGTCCCTTTCCATTCAAATATTCTCAACTGTTGCTTGTATTCTCTGCGAAGGCAACTTTTTTTCCCTCTCTTTCTTTTCAAATTCTGCAACTTATAGCATTATAACAATACATTTAGTTATATTTTATAATTTTATATAAGCTTCTTAGATTTGTTGAAATTACTTTGTCCATTCACTCACATACTCACACACACTCTCTCTTTCTTTTCTTTCAAGTTCTTAATTGATTGATACAATTACAAAAAAAATATTTCTTGTGAAGTTTATATATATACGTATATCTATCTATTGCACTAAAAATAGTTAGAAACTTATTACTTATAATTTTTGTTTGACAT